CAAGCGCTCTTGCCTTCGTTGTCAAAGTTCGAAAACGTTGTTCCATCGGGCTCAATTAGCAATTCAATTGGCCCGGCCCGCTTCCGCGATTTCGTCGATTCGTGGAAAAACAGGGAATCGTGTCGCGAATTCGCCGCTGCGAACTTCGCGCACAATAAATATTCAGTTTCCTTGTTCTTCGAGAACGGTGATTGACGTTGACTTAATATTTCATAAATATTGATTCCTCGTGCCCGACGATGACGTGAATACTGTTATCATTTTATAGAAAAAATATGGGGCTTCGAACGGAGAGTTTATGGGAAAAATTGTTAGGGCAAATGGAAAACGGTATTGAAAATTATTAAGAAACGTTACTGTATATTACAATTAACGCGAATAGTTTTTATCGTGCATTCGATGGCATTTATGGAAAAATTGGTTCGGTGCCATCTCATTCGATTCGTCGAAGCGGAAATGAAAATTCTATTCGACTTATTCGCTCGCACTCGATGCAGTCAGTTTCTATTATGCATAAAGATCCGCAGTCTGCTTGTCACGTAATCTCGCGGCTGACATAGAATTACCGTGATATAAGTGGACCTGGCGCATCGCGAGCCGTACGAACGTCGATTAGGAGTTAACCAGACACGGCAGTGCGGTGTCCGAAACGGAAATTTCGTAGCAATTAATAGATCATGGAGGTCGGCAGGAGGATCTCGGGCTCGGGTATCATATTTTAAGGAGCACAAAGGTCGCCGTTCGAGCAATTTACGCGAACCCGACGGCGTTCCCGTTCCCGCAGAAGCTCTTCGACGGTAAGGTCATTCCCGGAGCGCGTACCTCGGTGCCCGGCGATTATTAAACGCACGAAATTACTGTTAATACACTCGACGGGAACGCATCGGCTTTAATTGGTATGCGCGGAGTACCATTAACGTTTTAATTAGCGGCGAGCAAGCCCTGATACGTCGGCCGACATTTCCTCCGCGCCGCGATCGATGCTCCAGCATTACCAGCTAAACGGCAACATTCTATTTATAGGCATAACAAACACATTTTCTTCCATGAACGTGCTCGCGCGATCTCGTCCACACGCGCGCCTCCGCGCACGTACACGCGCACACTTTGATAGATGCATTCAAAAGCTCCTGGTTCCCGCGCAGTGGAAACACACCAAGAAATCCAATTAACGTCGACGCCAACAAGGATTTTTATCTGCTCGCTACACCTACCCTTCCTTCGCCATCTTTTTTTCGTCCCTCTCTCGCTCGCCCTCTCTCTCTCTCTCTCTCTCTCTCTCTCTCTCTCTCTCTCCCTGTCTCTTCCTTCCTCTCTCTTGTACTATATTTTTCTCTCTATATATACTCTTCCGACAACTTCTCCATTCCGCCCGGAAAAAGATCCTTCAGACACTTTCGCCCCATTGTCGGGAGACGTTTCCTATCCACCATCTCTACCCGGCAGACGCCTCGGGTTGCACCCTTTCGGGGTGAAACGCTAACCGGAAGGATGTTAAACACGACGAAGATGAGCACCGCCTCCTCTTCTCTCCTCTCCCCGTTCCTCTCCGCCTCATTCTCTCTCTCCTCTGATTTGCGAGGGAGAAACGTGCACGCGAAAGGAATAACGCGGAAACCGCGGATTTTTCTGTCCGAGTTTCTCTCTGCAAGAATTATTGTAATTAAACGCAGATTCGTTTATCCTGCCGAGCTCCCCTGCTTCAATCTTCTCGCAAACGCGAGAGGAATATCGTCTACAAAATTCTTAAGAGCTACCAAAATGATTCCGCGATTTCTTCCACGTCGGCGATTACTTTTGCTATTAATTAAGCACGCTCGACAGAAATAGCTCGATCCGAGGTGGTCCATGGGCAACGCTGCTTGTTTTGAAATCGGTAAGGATTTAATCTAGCACCGTATCTAATCGACCAATTAAACATTCTGTTATCCGAATGTTCTCTCTTTGGTAGTTCGTTTAATCGAGGCTGTACGGTAATCGTTTCCTTCCGTAAGTTCTGAATTGAGTGATTTTCTGAATTTATATTCGGACGATGAAAAGGGACATTTCCTTGTACAAAGCAGCAAATCGTCTTCCGTTCCACGAAGTCCCTAAGATCGCGTTTTAATCTATCACCGCGGAGATTTCATTTGTCTAGCAGAAGCAGCGCGCGAGAGACTCTCGCAAGGCCTCTCGATTCTTCGAACCGTCGAATCTAGCCGAGAAGACTCTCGTAACATTAATTTCAAAAGCAGCATCGTTTCCGGCGTTTCATGTTCCATGACGAGACGCCTCGAATATTCTTCCGCCAAGCAGGATCTCCCGGTTGTTTAGAAAACCGTGTTCTCGCCGATCGTGCGCGTATGCGAGTCGCGATAAACGCTCGCGGCTCAACGAAAGCGATCGCGGGCCTTTTTCGACAGCAATTAAACCGTGAGAATGTCGCGCCTCGGCGCATCGCAGCCGCAAACTGGTTTTCTGGGGAAAAAGGAAAGTTATTTGTCGCGACAACGCACGACGCGTTCGATCCCTTATAATTAACGACCGGTGCGTATCGAGAGAGAGAGAGAGAGAGAGAGAGAGAGAGAGAGAGAGAGGGTGAGAGAGATATTGAGAGAGGGACACAGGTTCCGCTGGAAAAACGAGATCGGTCCATTTAAAACGCTCGACGCTTTATTTTTCGCTTTTTCTCCTCTCCCGTGAAACGGTAGACTTTCTGGTTTCACTCGAGCAAACTCGGTGTCCCGTTAAATAATCATCGGTTTCGAGCAAAAGGCCTTTTTCAGGCGACGATTAAACCGAGAAAGAGAGACACAGCGATAGAGAGAGAGGGAGAGAGAGAAAGAGAGGAAGGGAGAGAGAAGGAGATAGAGAGACCATTTTTCCGGACGCGCCGTATAAATTTTATCGATGTTTCGATGGGAGAAACTTTGCTCGAATTACTCGCACTCGTTCGTGAAATGACGTCGGAAAATTGATATCAAAATTCGTTTCGATCCGTGGGCCGGGAAGTCGGGAACGGCGGAATGGAAAGGGAACGGAAGTGAAAATGGTATGGGAACGCGAATGCACGCAGACACGGAAGAACATAACCGATAATGGCCCCCGGATTCATGATCCGGCGCATACGCGCGAAATTTAATACCCTCGACGCGGTGCGGCGCGGCGCGGCGAGACGAGGCGCGACGAGGCGACGGGAAAGTGCATCGAATCCGAAATAACACGATTAACTGACAATGGGGCCGAGTCAAATCCAAATACAGTAATTTATCACCGGTGACGCAAACAGGTGCAATTTGCCCCGTCTTTTTCCCACGAGGCCCGCACCATTTCCGCGGCCATGACGTCCAAGGATCGCGCAAACGATCTCGAAATCGGCTTGTTTTCGAACGATTTCGCGACGACGAAGAGACCGTGTCTCTGGATCGTGGAATTCGAGAAGAATCGGCTGCCTTCCACCGGTTCCAAATCGTCGAACGATTCGTCGGTTGCCTCGACGATATTTTCTATGATTTTCCTTCGACGGACCAGATACGAGAACAACGAAACGATATTCCCTTCTAAGGGACGATTGTTTCAGCTACTATTGTATTAGCTATTTTTGTCGACTTCGATACGCAACGCTAATGCGTAGCTAATGCGTGAATTATGAGAAGATATCTTTCGCAGCAAAATGTTTCAGGGTTTCGTTGGTTTAAGAGACTTCGCATTACCATTTTACTAAGGAGATAGCGAGCCGCTCGTTGCTACAGATAACGGATGAATCTCGGGCTTTTATCGTCCATTTAATTAGAGCGGCTAACAATTAAAAAGTCTCGCGCAGATAAGACGGAGGGGCGAAGAATAGAGTCTTATCGCGGCATTAACGATTGCTAGGAATTGTGACGGTACTAAATGAGACGACAAATTGAAACGGGCGTGCGCAAACATACCGCGAGGTGCGCGTTAAAACATAACCGACTCGATTAACGCGAGACATCGATTAATCATAATAACTTCCTACGATAGAGCACCTGTGCAATTTTGCTCCGTCGCCGCGAAACAATCGAACCGATCGGCTAATTTCCAGCGAATGGCTTTCGAGGCTTCGTCAACGGGGAAATAAAAATCCCGAAGTGGGTCGTTCGGGCCAGCTCGTTAATTCCCGTCAAAGTTACAATTACCCGGTTCCCGATGGTTAAAAAAAAAAAAGGGGGAAGAAGTCCTCTTCCCAGCGAATGGAACCAAAGCTACCTACGATTTTCAAGAAATCCTACGGCGGACCGGTAAAAGCGCAGGTAAAATCCAGCTCGATGGCCACCGGATCGACCCAATAATTTAACCAACGAGGGAAATCCAGCGTAGGAAAATGTCCCGCAAGAAAGAAACCCCTTTAAATTGTCCGAGAGGCGTTCAACGCGCCCCCGGCCCCCGGTTCTCCGAGTAAAAATAACGTTTTAAATCGGCGGCGAGAGCGTGGACCGAGTTTCCTCGCCGGGACCTCCATAAACGGGCCACCGCGCGCCGCACAATGTGTTTCTAAATCGTGCTGCGAAGACGACACTCGGAAACGACCGTCCCGTCATCCTGTACCCCTTCGGGCACCGATTCCTCCTCGATTTTATCACCGGGAGCACCCTGTTCGCCCTCGACAATTAATTCACCGGGCGCCGCCGCAACTCAGCTCCGAAATAATTCGCAGCTGGCCCGGAGACACTTTCCGAACTCCCTTCGCGAGGATCGTTGCTCCAGAATTACAACCTCCACGGCTCGAACGCGGTAAAATCTTCGATTTTATCGCCCTGGATTCGGGCCGCGCTTCGCGATCAATTATCCCGAGAAACCCGCGACAAATCTGCCACGAGACGATGTCCTCGGTTCTCTCGGACGGCAAAAAGTCGCCGGGAGCTACTTTAAACTCCACGGCACGGTAGACACCGCTGAACGAACGTCTCTCCGATTGCCCCAGATCCCGATGTTAAATCGACTCGAAAATCCGCGAAGCTCCAAGCTCGAGGACACCTTACTTATCTGTTACGTACCTCGGACAAGGCGTCCTCCATCATATCGCTGGTATCTCTCATGACTCCGAATGGAAACTAGCACCGACAACAATCACTCAACGCCCACGTTTTATCCGTTTCCTCCCGGTGCGTGTGTCTCTCTGGCGTGCGTTCCTCGCCGCCCGGCTCCTCGCGGACGATCGCCGGACGATCAGAAACCTCTCTCGAAGTAGCGATCGCGTTCGTCGGGGGCTAGACGTGGCCGAAGAAGAGGATCCGCGAGGCTGGCTGAACACGCGGCGAACAGTACACCGATCCGCGTCGACGTCGACCGATTTCGTGTCCGGGCCTGGCTGTCACGAGCACATTGCTGCTGCTGGCCCGCGATCGCTCGCCGAAAGCCAGTCCGTTTAAACGCATGTAACTTCCCCGTTGGATCGATCGTATCGCAACGTGTCACTTCCCTCCCTCCGCGGCCGACACCGCGTCCGCTTCACCCGGTCTCTTCCCTTCGGGACCTGATGATCCCCTATCGGGAGACGAGCTTCTTCGGTTTCGAGGATCGAGCTCCTCCGTTCGATCGGCTTCCAAGATCGGGCCCCGGCCGGTGCTGCGGGTGCTCGCGGATCGGTAGACCGGCTAAGAATAGGGGATGCCGAAGACGAGGATGAAGATAAGTCCGAGCGTGTCCGGCGAGCGCAACGGGCTCACGAGAGGATCGCGGGACGATCCATCGGTGTACGCGGCTATGGAAACACTGGCGAGCACTGTCAGGTAAGCCAGGGAGCAGGTCGACGGACAGCCAGCAGGCCAGACCTGCCTCCATGACACTGGTCCCGTCTCGCTCTACGCTCCAGCCGCCTCTCCCTTGCACCGACTGCTTGCAGCTGCCTTTCCTCCCCTCCAGATACCGTTTCCCCTACAATTCTCCCCTCGCTCGCTCTTTCTCTATCCCTTTCGAGCTGCTACTCTCCTGCCGTCCTCGCTCTGCCGGCAACCCTCCTCGTCCGGCCTGCGCTGGAACACGGTCCTCCTCGTTCCTCCAAGCCGCTCGGTAACGTTCTCTACCCTCCTCCTTCTATCGTTGCACTCGCGGCATTCGCTCGCCTTCTCCAGTGCATTTCAATCTGTTTCCCCCTTCCGAGCCACCCCTACCCTCCCTCGTAGCCGGCTCTCGTTTCTTCCAAGGGGCTTAGAAGCCCCCTCCACCGGCCGGGAGACACGAGTTCCCCGCAGACTTCGAACCACGACGATTCTTCCACGCAGCCGAGACGTCCAAGACCGCGGCTTTTGAAATGCAACGGTGCTGGAAGTGCATCGGTTGCAGCCGGACTCGCGCGACGCGATGCGACGCGGCGGTGCCGAGCGCGGGGGAGAGATGTGCAGCTTTTTGTTTTCTCTATGACTTTCGGATGTTCTGATCGGGATCTTGCCGACTGCGGATTCAAATGCAGTTGCGAGAGAGACGGGTGGTCGACGAGGTATGCAGCGGTGGAAACTGTTTCTCGAGTTCCCGTTCCGGGCAATTCGTTTTGAAGAAGGAGCTTTCGATGGAGTGATCCTGCAGAAGAAGTAGAAATATCGGCAGCGCGCGCGCGCGATTTTGCTGCTTATCGACGAGAATGTAATAAAGGTTTTAAGAGAACAGAAGGATTGAAAAGTCGATGATCTTTGCGTGGACCGAGTCATATTTTTCTTCTAAAATAGGAGCTCGTGTTTTCGATACGGTGTCGTTAACAATTTCATACTCTACTAGGAATAATGTATCTAAATAATACAATGATTAAATCGGATACCAGAATATTGTAGAAATAAATGTTCGAATATGGGAATTTTTATATCGTAAATATGATAAATACTGCGATTACAACACCGATTTAGATTTCCGAAATAACGATTTACAGAATCCTCGATGCCGAAATTATTTCTGCGCAAACTGCGAAACCATTTTGAATCTCGATGCACGCGGCAGTGTTCAGAGATAAGGATGCGAATAATTAACGAGTTTCGGAAACGAGGCGAACGATTAAAGGACACGCATGGTATAATTTGATAAGAACTGTCGAAGATAAAGGGAGCGAACGAAGCGGATTGTGCAACGCGAAAATTTTTCGGCTGAAAAAGGAGCGTCCTCGCGGCACTACAAAGGCGGTTCACGCGTCCCGGCGCGGCTCGGCTCGGCTCGGCTCGGCGCAGGGCCACGATGCAGACGAACAGCTGCTATTTCACCTGTTCGATATATTATTTAAATGCTTCACCTGCCGCGATGTCAAGATACCGCGAGATAACCGGGTCCCGGCGTTTCCTGCTTTCACGACGATATCACGCGAGATTTTTCGGCATCCTCGCGGCATCGCGACGGTTTTTTGCATTTTTACGATGTTAAGAGCATTTTTCGAACTCGTGAAAATGTTTGCCGATCGCTGGATAAGCTGGTTCGTTAATTGAATGATGTTCCGAGCAAAAAAGGGCGTGGGAAATGGTTTCGGGACGCAGACTGGAAACGCTGCTCTTTAAATTCTTCGTTTAATGGGATGCGGTGAATGAGTTTACAGGTAAGAGATCGATTTGTATTACTATTGAAACGAGTACAACTTACAAATAGGTACAACTTACAAACGGGTACAACTTTCAAACGGGTACAACTTACAAACGGGTATAACTTACAAATGAGTGCAACTTACGAACGACTATATAAAAGATGAGGAAGTAGGTAGAGCTTGCAAAAATGGGCTTAACAATCGATCGCACAGTTAACAGGTGTAAAACTATTCGATCGCCGAGCGTACGATGTACAAAATGAACTTTACGCAATGATAAATGCTAAAGAATCGATCGATCACACCGAATTGTCGTCTATGAAAACGAGTCTACGGTCCAGTCCGACAGTGATCGGACTGATCTTCCGCATATATCTAATTAATACATCGGTGTCGACTTCCCCGACTTCGTGATACCGGCCGCACGTTTTGAACGGAGTGTATCCATCGCCTGCACCGATCAAAAACGTTGGAACCACCAGCCTGTACCATCGATCTTCCACCAGTTTTTCGAACATTGGCATTTCGCAAGCTTGACACCTGAAGTATAAAAAAAGGTCAGCGCCATTTCTCGATCCGTACGATCACGAGCAGAGCGTCAATTAAATGAAACGTCTACCTTACTAAGACTTCCGACACTTTTCTGGTACCTCCAGTCATCTTGTACGTGAGCTTCAGACCGGACCACACGAGTATTCCATTCGAATTCAGTATCTGAAATAACCAATTGTCCTTCGATCGTGTAGATGTTCGTATTAAAAATTCGTACAATTTATGATTCAGCCAGTGCGTGCAAAAATATCACCGATCAGTAGATACCGCGGATTTTATGCGTTCGGAACACAAAAATGAGTAATAAATCAAATACGACCCTGTAACGAGATTCGACAAATTTGACAAATTTCAGGAGATTCTTACGTTATTTTTAACTTATTATTAACGTTAAGAAAGGAAATACACTCTCGTGTAATTTATATTTCTTGCAGTTAACGTAGACGAATTTTATTCCCCCTAAAGATCCGCGGTCGACCGATAAGAACGATAAATCGAGAGATTAATAATAATTAATCATTATATTATTTATCAATATTAATAATCGATAATAATTATCGAACAAAGCTAGGCGCCTTAGAGGCTGCGACACTCTGCACAGGTCTGTAGTAAAGATTGTCCCCAACAGGTGGCTAAACGAGACTATCGCAAGCTGCTTTTGCTCGCGACAATAGGACAGAAACCCTAATCTCACAGGATTCAAAATTCAACTTACATCCATGATGCAACTTCCTTTCAGCTCGATAGTGTCCCACGTGTTCTCGAAGGGCTGGGCCATTATTAAATCGCTGAAAGTGATCTCCCCCGTTTCGATAGGAGCGCGTATTCCTCCTGGATTCATGCACGCCACGGCCGCATGCGTCCAAAAAGTCCTGTTCTTCGCTTTCCCCGCATACTGAAGTCCAAGAACAATAAATTATCAGATTCGTTGTTCGATTAATTGACTATCTGTTTCCAGGAATCGACACGCACCCCGGCCACCATCGCATCGGTGATCAAATTGCCAAGGTTGCACTCTTGTCTTCGACATCTACTGTCGAGATAAACCCTCGATTTAGCGATCTTCCTTTTCGCTGCCTCGTCCACCGTTGCTTTCCAGGGCTCCAGGGCCTTCACCATCGCAGGATCTATTAAATACGACTATTTCATTACCACAGTACTACAATATCTAATAGGAATATTCATTTTGCGATCTTTTTGTAGAACATATCACTAGAAACTACAATTATAAAGATCACTGTACTCGAGAGGTTCCCGGGAGTAACTCGGACTTTTTAACCAGCCTTCGCACAGACCGTTAATACTTTCTATATATAATAATGGGTTTATAATGGGTTTAACAATGGGTCCGTGTCTTTCAGTTTAACTAATAAAAATAGTATCACGAATAAAGAAGTACTAATCAAAATGGCTTAAGTACTTTAGTACTAATAAAATGGCTATTGCTGCAATACCTGAAAAGCCATTAAACGTCAGCTGCCAGAAGGGACTACCGTTTACCTTCGTTATTCAAGCCCTACCATCGTGCAAAGGCTGGTCAAAAAGTCAGGGTTAACCCCGGGGACCTTTTCTTTCTGGCGATAGTAAACGTTCGGACGCTCAGCCATTGTCACATTTTGTACGAGAACGTTATGTTTGAGTTATAAACGAGCCCGCAATTAAAGTCTATATTTTACTTTCCTGATTTCCACGGGAATCTCACCTTGCTCGACGGAGCTGTCGAGAAAAATCGGGTTACCGTCCCAATCAGCCACCTCGCCGTGCTCGTCGAACCACACCGTCAAGTTCCCCAGATACCTGGAAGCAAACAATGAGCAACTTGGTCGATCTTCGGCAAGGAAAACGCGCGGAAACTTCTAACGCGAAAGATCAGCGTGAAAACGAATCGCGAACCTTGTGAACGCGGCCGCCTGCACGATCAGCACCGTTCTGTTCGTCTTCGCTTGAGTGACCACCACAGGATAAACGTCCTCGGGTTGATCGTTGTTTGGAAGCTGTCCTGCAAACGCGACGATCTTCAGAGCTAGCTCGAATTAACGACGTTTCGCGAATGAACTTTCGGTTCCCGAAACGAAGGGCCGATAGACTCGGTGCAACGAGCACCGCGATCCGCCGCGGGCCTATTAAAAAGTCAACGCGCGACACTCGAAGAGCCCTCGTTAAACTTTCCACCGCGGTTAACTTGTAACTTTAACTCGTTTAGGCAGAACGGATATCCCCGAATCGACGAGAGCCTAGAGTTTCCGATTCGATATCGGACGAATATTATTGAAAGTTCCATCCGGTCGTTCGCCAAGGAGATCTTGATCAAAGTATCGCAAAAGTGCACGGCGGAAAATGTTATCAACGTTCTCGAATTAATTCTCGCATGATCCGATACGGCCAATTCTTGCATCAGATTATGCAAAATTATGCGAACGCCTAACGCGAGTGCCATATCGTTAGATAACCGATTGCTGCGTAAAATAAAAATTGTATCAATTGCAAGATAGAGCAGCATTGTGCATCGTACATTGCATCCTGCGTTTCTCAATGTGTACTTTAACACCGAGCCTACCGTTCTGGTCAAAATGACTTGCATTTCTTTCTGTTAAAATTGTTCTAATTATAGAGACATTTTCGCAGAAAACTGATATCTTAATTTAAGCAAACATACGAGCTCGCTTTTGTTGTATTTACAAAGCGACGCATGTTACGCACTTTTAGTGCTCGCTAGATTCAGCGTTAACGAGTTAAAAATAATACAGCAGTGATTTGAAATTGTTCCGTCGTTTCGTGTTCGATCCAGTTAGACGATCGCGAGCGCATAAAGCGACGAGCACGGCGAATGAACATGTTAAAACGTTCACGGTGTCAGCCAATTTATGCGGAAAGCAAACGATCACCGTTGCGGTATATACTTCGTGAATCGCGGAAGGAGGTTCCGCGGCAGCCCGGCCTTAATGACCGCGTCTCTGTTTTTAATCTGCGCGGCGGTTAATCGGCGCGGGGCAAAGATTACAGGTGATCGGCCGGCAGAAAATTGTTTGGAATACCACTCGGTTCCGGCGGTGCAGCGTTTCACGGACACTTGCCTGAGTAGAGGAGCGTGTGCGAGTGTCCGCCGACGATCAGGTCGATTAATGGACACTTGCGGGCCATTATCCTGTCCACGTCCAGGCCGCAGTGACTTAAAACGACGATAATGTCCACCCCCCGGGACTTCAATCGGCTCGCCTCGGCGTTCACCGTTTCCACCTCGTCGAGGAACTTCAATCTCCCGGTAACGGCAATTGTCTGGCAATTTGTAAGTTCGAAATTAGGGGCCGTGGTGAAACGGCCGAGTTATACTTCCGGTTAAGCGATCGGGCCTCTGTAATCGGCGAGGAGTCGCGCGATTATTCACGGCGACGAAGCTACGGGCTTCTTAGAATCCGTCGGACCCGCCGTCGGTACGCGCGCGCAAAACGAGCGAAACGAGCAACGACGATCCCCTTCTTTTTGCCTTCTTTTTTCGTCGCGGACGCAGGCCTCGACGGCCTTGACGCCCGGCAGTTTCGATCGCGTGAAGACGACGCACGCCGATTGTCCGAGCGACGATCGTCGAGACAGATGTGCGGAATCAATCAAAAGTTTAACCGAGGCGTCTGGACCGCTTCCAGTATCGATTAGAATGATTTTGACAAGGGTTTCGGAGGACGTTCGAGGATCGCCGCGACATTGGGACGCAAATGGGCTATGATCATGGCTGGCGGGTATCGGTTGCGATTCGCATCTGTTGGCAGATATCGAAGCGAACGCGCGATCTTCGCGGAAATTGTCGTATTTATAAATTTCGATATAAATTTATAAATTTCGTCTCGCGAATTTTTGCGCCGTTGCCAATGTAGCCGTGAAAGCGAATTGAAAGAGATCCGGCTCGTGCTTCGATTCCTGCTCGCTTCTCGCTCGCCGAGCGGAATGGGCGTTTATCAATTTTTCTTCCGGAAGCCGGACCGTTCGCGATTTCGCCGGGCAAATATAAAATATGCGGCGTGAACGAGGGAAGCGTAAAAACGATCTCTGATTAAGATGCGCTGCGAGCTTAAGTACGTACGCTCGTGGTCGATAAAATGACTCCGATGACCCCGATCTTGGTACCATTCCTCACGATCACCGTGCTGTTCTTGTACAGACCCTGCAGCGCGAAACGATCTTTTAAGTAACAATTTCACTTTAACCGAGATCTTAATCGATCCACGAACCTGCATCGACGGCTCCAAGCCGGCGTCGATGTTAGCCACGGCCACAGGTGCCTCGAGATTTTTCAAAAACGGCACCACACCGTCGACACCGTCGTCGAATTCGTGGTTTCCCAACGTCTGGAAGAAACGTGCGATTTAATTCGACGAGAATAAATCAGCGATCCTAGTACAAATAAATAAATAAATTAATTAATTAAAATAAAAATAAAGTAAAAGTATGATTTATCGAGAGCTTCGACCGGGCGCGATAAAAATTACTAAACGAGGCGAAATAGTACATTTCGAACGACCGCGACACGAAGCGAATGTAAAAATTCATGCGATATAGATAAAAGTCGACATAACTCAAGGCGGACAAGCGATAAATTAATATAATTGACAACCATACATTTTCTCGAGGACAGAGACATTAAACCGCTAAGTTGAGACCCTCGACTTCCGGTAGCAAACATTCTCCCCCCTCCGACGGTCGCTTCCATGCGACTTCTCTTTCCGCGAAAAAGGCCCACCGCGTGCCTCGAACATGCTGCCGCGATAGCGCTCCGTGGCCCGTGCCGGAACGTTTTATCGTTCGTCGAAAATTCATGGAACGATCCGTTCGATTTTATTGCCTCGACGCGGGCATATCTTGTTGAGTAACGGAACGAAACCGCGTTCGGATAATCGATCGTTAAACCCGTTTGACCCAATTAAGCCGGGGGACCTGCGTGCCGCGTCTCGATCCGCGTTTCCCTCGATCCTCTTCCTCCTCTGCCGGCTCTTACCAGAACGTCGTGCGGCAGCATGTTCATGAACGTGGCCGTCACGTTCCAGCGATGAACGTTGTACCATATCGTCCCCTGGAAATTGTCCCCAGCGTTCAGGAAAATCGGGTTCGGCCTTTCCTCGATCAATCGATTCACGACGGTCGAAACCCGCGCGATCCCGCCGACCGCCACGGTCTCCTCCTCCGTGTAATGCTCGCTCGATCTATGGATCGTCTCCTCGAACCTGGAATCGCAGGAAAACTATTTTTCGGAAACCCAACGACGCGGAAGCTCGATTGCGAAAGAGGTAAAAAATAAACGGTTTATCTATCGGAAAACTTTTCGTGGTTTTATCGGAAGCGCCAGGGAAAACCGCTGACCAAATTCGATCTATCGTTGAAGATCAACGCGCGAGGCGTAGCTGGTTTGTCGGTCGACGTCTACTTTCCGGGAAAAAATGGTTATCTTTCGAATAAAACGAAAAGCGTGTTCGTCATTTTTCAACGGGCGGACAATAGTTTAAAAAGAACTGTCGCGAGTCGTCGACAAAGCGTAACACGTATCTGCGACGCGCCGTACGGATTCCCCAACTTTTCCTTGGGAGATAAGACAAAACGAAGTGTATTGTTGTTGTATTATCTATTCCGGCGCCACGTGGATTTTCGGAAAAATATTGCGACTTTTCCTCGGTAAGACGGGAACAATGGTTTCTCGCGTGACGCGCAGCGGCCAGCAATTGTGCAACGAGACACGTGGCTAGAAAAAGTCACGACCAACCCGAACCTCCTCGACCCTGAGATTTCGCTTGGCACGGGTTTCGCTTTCAAAACTTTCCGATTGTTCCAGCCTCCGTTTAGTCGTCGCACGTTTTGCGCGGCCCGCCACCTGCTGAACTCTTCAATACCCCGCGATCGTTTCATCGAATCGCTGCATCGTTAATGATCGCCGGCGATCCGCGCATTCGTCTTGTCGCGAACGTTCCGTTCGGGTGCAGCTCGTCAAACTACGATTACCGAGAACCGACCGCGAAGATTAATGCAATCAATGAGCGAACGATTTATTACGGGCCGGACGGAAAATCCGGGATGATCTACGGCCGGCCGTTGCCATCGGACTGTTAAATTTGGCAATGAATCGAATCAGGCTTAACGAACCGTTCGATCTTGTCTGGCAGCCTGACAGAGCTCGCAAGAGTCCGAATAAATTCCCGTTCGATCGCGGTTCCTCCGTGCCGGGTTCATAAATCCTGAATCGGCGAACGATCCACGGTGCCAGCGACCGTAATCGGCCCGGATCGGTCGAATTACCGATACAATTTAATAACGGCCGCGCAGATGGGAGAGATCTGGGCCCGATAATTAACCGCGGGGCAAACACTGGCCATCGTTATCCCGATAATTAGACACGGGGAACGTATTCAATGACCCGATTTCATACGCGCCGACGTCATTCATATTTTCATTCGGAAACGGTCGAACGAGCGCCGCACGTGGCACGTACCTCGCGTGGAAATCGTTTAAGTGTATCACCGACAGCTCGAACAAATCCGATCGGCCCGGATAATGCAGTCCCCTGCCGGTGAAGCCGCTCGACACCCGGAACAGGATCATCAACAGCCAAATCGGATGCATCGTCGATTCGATTTCCACGGGATCCGATCAGCCGCGCAACCGCGAATCGCGCCGGCTCCTTCGACCGCTGTGCGTTCGATTCGGCGATCAGCACCGATCCGTCTTGATCGATAGGCTTCCTGCTACAAGATCCCTGCTAAAAGATAAACGATCCTACCGTTACGAACGCTGATTCGTATCTTAATAATCGCGAAATCGATACGGCGAACGTACGCGGTCCTTTTGTTCAGAACTTTCGGACACGTTGTTTCTTATTATCAACGATTCTGTTACGCTCGATGCACAGCTGTGAAAGATACGGTAAATTAAAATAACTAATTGCCGGTTCAGATTGTACACGAATACGGACGATATGGGAAGAGCAGATACGATTATGACCACCGTAGCTCCTAAATCGGTACGATTCTTTCAAGATTTTGTGGGGCGCGAATCAGCGCGAGTAATCTCTTCCAGGTTTTTACGAGCTCTCGAAGATGTGTCGACGAATCAGTACCACAACGATGTTTTTCATTGTCTTTAATATCCATCGACAACAATGAGCCAAGCTCGGTGGATAAATATGTGCCGATAATAGAACTAAAAGAGACTAATATTGTGCAATAAAACGATTTCGTAGCAGATGATACGACGGTCACGGTTCGCTGATAAGTTTCTTTGAACGAAGAATAGGCGCAGGTACAAAGAGCTTTTATCTCCGATGAAAATTGCGTAATGCGAGAAAATAAATATAATCGTGTTCGGAGGCGATCGAGAGGGGATCTCTGTTATTTTGTTTAGAATTGCTGGGAACGCTCGCGGGGAAAACAATGTTATCTAAACACGGGTTTGCTTTATCTGAAACGGTCGAAAATTATGAACAGAATCCTTGGGCGCTCGATGGCCGTCTTCACGTCCGCGTTCGGGCAATTACGGCATTGTTATCTTGTAATTCGGTACCGACGACAAACCCGTCGACGCGTGCAATGTCATTGGTCACTTGCAGCAACACTTGACATTGGTCGACGCGATCGGGTTCGCCCGTTGCATCGGAAGCTCCGCGACTCGAGCGGAGAGTCCTTGAGCATCGAAAAATACAATAATAATATCGTACGATCGGTTCCACGATATTTCATATCGACGAATTGTCGAACATCGTCGACCACGAATTTACCGATCGTACGAATCGCGGTTGTTCTCCCTCTCCGGAGTGAAAGGATCGGGAATTTAGCCTGAAACTGGCAAAAAGTCCAAGGCTGGCGCGCTCGTCGCGTGACTTTCGCTGACTCCGTACTCGATGATCGGTGACCCACGCGTGAAACGACACTGTATTCCATGTAAAAATAATATTCTGAATTCGCGCTACACTGTAGGACCTCTATATCGCGGCATTTATATTCCCCGACGAACAGAGAGTGATAACTAGATCGCGGCTTTTGTGCATCAATGATAAAAACGAGCAGATCGAATGGAAAGTATGCAAAATCGTTTAAACAATTCGAAGATATATATATGCATTGAAATTATTGCGTTGCTGCCAACTCGCTAAAATTATTACGAAAAGGAACAAGTGTCCGTGTAGTTCGTATATCTTGCGATTAACGGAGACTATTGTTATTGTGCACAAAGATCCGCAGTCTGGTATCAGCGATCTAACCAGCTAGTGTCACTGCTGATACGCGAGGAAGTTCGAAGATCTTCGCTGAACTCGTCGTTCCACTTCTAAACCATCGTATCCTCGATCTAAATGGATCTATAAGGATCGATCCTAACCGATACGAGTCGAATAAAGATGAAAGCGTTCCTCGTGATATCGTCGCAAGCTGGCCGAAACATCGAAGTAACACCGAAACAACGATTTCCTCCGATCACGAGGACCCGTCGCGTCAAATCTCGCGAAGGAAATTCCGTGAACGCGACGACAAAATAGCGGCGAAGAGGTTCGGCAAGACGACGCGTTATAATGATCGGCATCTGCGTCCCGGGCGCCGAGTACGTTCCGAAATTACGCGTGTAATCGAGCGAATTCGACGACACGTCGCGCCGTCCATAATTAATCACTGAAAGCCGCGATTAATCAGGCATCGAGCGTGAAACGCACCTGCCGGCTGCGAACGCTCGACGAGAACTGGCCGCTTAAAAGAAGATCTATCTTCGCGCACCTTCCACGGTTGAGCGACTCCATTATCGGGCCTCGAAATGACGCTTGTTATGCAACAGCCGACGATAAAGATCGTTACACCGTAAAACAATATTCGCGCGCAGTCCCGTTTCCAGCGAACTCCGGACCCGACAATCCCTCGATCTGCCATGCGTTTAGGCTAATCGCCGCGTCTTCGCCGGCCGCCATTTTGGATCATCGCGCGGACTCTGAGTCTTTTCGGACGAGCTTTCTCGATCCGGCGAACTTTTTGATCTGTAAACAGCCTCGCATTCCTCGATAGTTCCTCATCGATCGGCAAATATTTCTAATCGCTGGTCAAACGCAAAAATCGAGAAAATAATTGTTGTAGTATGAATAATATAAATATAGTGTTAAAGACCTTTATAATCGTTCGACAATGGACTCTCTAATCGCCAGTGAAACGCAAAACTCGAGAAAATAACTGTTGCGGCATAAACAATACAGATTAAACAGTATTAAAAAATCTTTTATGATCGTACGACGATAGTTCATCTACAATATGCTCTTATCTTTCGATGACGGTTTCAACATTTCGTCCCGTTATCTGTGCACCCAGATTGTAGAAATTATTTCGGATTATCTGATAACGAGATGCCTGGATTCCGTCGGACAGAAAACGCGGATCTCCGCGCTGCTGAAAAGAGCGGACGCGCGCCATTAGAATCGCGTCCACCGCGTTGTCCGGAGTCGAATGTGCATTTTCGAAGATCCTTGGTTCCTCGCAATTAAGACCTACGAGGCCGAGGGTGCCCCCGGCAGATCATCTCTGAGTGGATAACGAGCGAAATCAACGGATTGGCGATTCCCGGAACGATAGATCAAGGGCGGGCCAGCTATTGGAAGGTGAAAAAGGGCGACGAGAGAGAGAAAAGGAGCGGGAAGAAATTCGGAACAAAAGGAACCTGTTACGGTCGCCAGGATCCTTCCGTGGGACGTCGTCCTTACCGTCTCAGTCCGACCGGATCCTTCGCTGTGTCAGTGCCACGAGGGATTGCCTCCCGTGAAAGTGTCTAACCAAATACTGCTGCCAGGTACGATCGAATTGCACACAGGCATCGCTTTCTAGGTTCTTTCGTTGCCGAACTCGGCCTTCTTTGCATTTGGTAGAACCGTTTCGAGCGATTTTTTAGTCGATTTCGAGAGAAGCTAGGATTGCAGAGCCGGTTACTATGCAGCGACCAATCGTTTCGCCTTTGGTTCGTACTCGGGCACGAATAACTTTGTGTTTATTCTTTAATTTCGTTTACTTTCGAATTAAAATATCTAACACTATTTATTCCATAAATATAAAGTTAGCCTCAAACCTAGCGAGCAGCAAAGACATTTTAAAATGTGCTGCTTCGCAGCAACGTTGAATTTATTTAAACTTTCTGTAATTTTTGTTATAGCTTGATACTTGAATGAAGAAATTTATTTAATCGTCTCCTACGAACGAGACTTCGTGACAATTTTGATCAAAGAAATTTGAAACCGGTCAAAATGACCGCCACGGTAAATCCAGCGTTAATTAGGTCGGAAATAAATTAAATTAAACCAGCTATATATACACTACCCAACACCTTATCCAGAGATCTCGGATCTGAGAACTCGTACACGATTTTTCCTAAATAGAATAGCAGCGGAAAAGTCGCCTTTACGTCGTACGAGCACGAAAGCGTGCTTCCTTCGTCCGCGTTCTCTTCTCGACGTAACAAGTTCAGCAGAGAACAAAGCGTTGAAACGCATCAATTAACAAATAAATAGACGAAGCCGGCGGAATCCGTCAGGGAATGCGGAGGAGGCGAGGCTTGCGTAACGTCGTTGCAGTGCCCGAGAAATCAATGGCATTTAGTCGCAAATTAAAACCGTGTTTACGTTTATCCTTGTATCATCCGCGGGGAGGCCGGAGTTTCTCCTGTCGCAGATGTTCGGTGCAAACCCGCGAATTATAGAACGCTGGCATACTGTCAGCGCGTCGTGACAACGACGCGTCGCGGTTGCCAGCGTCGCGTCGCCTCGCTGTCTTTCCCAATTCTCTCGTGTCAAGGGAACGTCTTCGCGCGAGCATCATCGATTTCACGTCCGGGAAAACTCGCGAACGGCCTCGATCGTCCCTCGATTGGCTTGGTTTCAATTATTCTGGTCCCGGAGACCAGAGACGCGAGTCTTTGAAGTCGAAACGATTGTTTCGTGTTTGTGACATTTGCGACGACGTCGGTCGTGGTCCCTGGTCGCTAGTACGTCATTCGCGAAGATCTACGTCTCTTTCCGGGACAAGACGTCCCGGACAAGACGTTTTAGGGTCTAGAGTACAAAAAATTCTCCCTAATTGACGCTCAGATTGCGCACTAAAATGGACAATTTGGGAAGAGGAGATATCGAATAGTTATTCGAGCCTCGCGGCTCGTTTTTGTCCATTTTTGTGTCCAATCCGAGGCTCGATTAGGGCAAAAATATAGCGTCAAAATAACCTTGACGCGACCTTGACTCAACCTCCACGATCGTTGCTTCAGTTTGCCAAGTTAACAAAATTCCGTCGACTTTCGTTCGTTCGTCCGAAAAATACCAGAAATCGTTTCGCATTTCCGGTGGATATACGGTTTCCGCGACGCGTCGACGCTTCGAAATTGATTAACGAGAAAAATCGGCGGCCGTTCGAATGGAATGTTTTCCTCGTCGCGGCGTTTATCGCGACTCGAAATAGGTTCGCAACGCAAATCGCCACTGTTTCGTCAGCGCGATTGCGATTTTTATGTGGAACGAGGAAAAAAAACCGACGAGACTGTCTGCATAAGTTATGCTGATTCTATCACCCATGCTGCCTGCTAACAACCAGTTTACGGGCAGCGAAGGAAACACGTGTTGCGAAACTCTAGTGTTCAGATCGCGTCCGAGTTAACGATTCAAAATCGCGAATATTAATTTTTCGTCGAATCGACGAAGATCGATCGCGGTACACGAGATTCTCCCTAATCGACGCTATTGGCGCTCAACAACTACAAAAACGAGTCGAATAATAGTATCTCCTGTTCCGAAATCGACCATTTTTCTGCACAATCCGAGCGTCAATTAGGGAGAATTTATTGTACACAATATGCTGCAGACAATCGATGCAGTTAACAAGTGTTAGATTACAAGAACAGTATTAATTAATATTATTGGTTCGACGCTATGGAGCGTCAACTTGGTCGAAACAAATTGACAATTTGCGGCCATCGAACATATAATTCTCTGCGATGAACGTGACTTTAGTTCTACCGTTCGCTCTTGTTCTACCGCGGGGACGCGAGGCATTGAAATCACTCGACAGATAAGGGTGTTGCGACAGAAACGTGTTCCTCGGGATTCTCATCTGTTTCTCGAGTGCAACGGATCGAGGTCTCGCGGCGGAACCGAGAACTTCTCTCGAAAATCTTCCGCCGTATGAAATCATTTCCAATCGATACTCCTCCGTTAGACAAAAACCAGCGACGCGTTAAGATCTTGCGAAACTTCTTCGACGGGTTCTCCGTTGGAAATCGATTCGTTTCGTTGATCGAAAACATTACGTCACGGACAATCTTGGTCGTGATTAGCAGCGACTAAAACACAGTCTCGAGCGCGATATAATAATGTCTCTCTAATTGACGCCCGGATTGACCACAATAAATGGACAATTTGGGAAAAGGAGATACGATTATTCGGTTCATTTTTATAGTCACGAATTGTCAACAACTGTAAAAATGAGCTTCGAGGCTCGAATAATCGTATCTCCTCTTCCCAAATTATCGATTTTAGTGGACCTGTCTCTTATACACATCTAGATGTGTATAAGAGACAGGAGCTTCGAGGCTCGAATAATCGTATCTCCTCTTCCCAAATTATCGATTTTAGTGGACCTGTCTCTTATACACATCTAGATGTGTATAAGAGACAGGAGCTTCGAGGCTCGAATAATCGTATCTCCTCTTCCCAAATTATCGATTTTAGTGGACCTGTCTCTTATACACATCTAGATGTGTATAAGAGACAGGAGCTTCGAGGCTCGAATAATCGTATCTCCTCTTCCCAAATTATCGATTTTAGTGGACCTGTCTCTTATACACATCTAGATGTGTATAAGAGACAGGAGCTTCGAGGCTCGAATAATCGTATCTCCTCTTCCCAAATTATCGATTTTAGTGGACCTGTCTCTTATACACATCTAGATGTGTATAAGAGACAGGAGCTTCGAGGCTCGAATAATCGTATCTCCTCTTCCCAAATTATCGATTTTAGTGGACAATCTGAGCGTCAGTAAGGGAGACATTACTGTACAATAATGTCTCCCTAATTGACGCTCATATTGTGCCCAAAAATGGACAATTTGGGAAGAGAAGATGCAATTTTTTGAGCTTTGCACCTGGTTTATTATAGTTGCCGATTGTCAACAATTATAAGAACGAGCGCAACACTCGAATAATCGTATCTCCTCTCCCCAAATTATCCATTTTAGTGGACAATCTGAGCGTCAGTAAGGGAGACTACTGTATTCTGTTCTTCGGAGAAATTCGAACGGCCGAACGGACCTTCAACCCCGTTGCCACCCTTCAACGCAGCGTAATCATTTTATCGCTTCACGAATATTCCTCGTAAACGCTTCGCGCGTTCCTCGGAATCTCTTCGACGCACAGTTCGCCGTAGTTCGACGTAGTTCGACGTAGTTGGACGTAGTTCGACATATTTCTCCCAAGAGATCAATTTTTGTTAACGCGTCGAGAGATATTCGATCTTCAACGCTCTCGCGTACTGGAATTCATCGGGAATGCGCGGAACGCGTAGATTGCTTATCGAGCACGATATTTTCCGGAGTTATCTTCCCGTCGAAAAATCGTAAGACTTGTTCCCCGTGCCTGCGAAAGATCGAGACAACGGGCGGGACCTCGAAGCTCGTCGACGTTCGAACGATTCGCCGAAGGTCGGAGCCGAACGGTCTGTCGGAGACGACGCGTCCGCGACATCGTTCCTCATCGGGCGACAAGAGAAAGTACACGAAAATACGATTCGCGGCACGATAAGAACCCCGGTGTTACGTCGCCGGGTCGGTTCGATCGAGAGCGCCGCGATCCATGGCACTCGGTGTCGGATTCGCGCGCGAACACCGGCCTCCTCCTCGAGGTCCCGCGTGCCGAGCGTGCGATCTGTTCAGTCGACGCTGGTCGCTCGTGAAAATCGGTTCGCCGGGGCTGATTCCCGCTGTCGTCGACTCGCGTTGTGCAATCTGCCGCTCGATTTCGTCGGTAAAAAGGACCGTGTCGGCCGCGATTGGCATCGGCGAGACCATCGGCGATCCGCTCGTTTCGCACGACTCGCCGCGTCCCGCCGGCTAGAACGGTATTTATAGAGCGGACCGCGCGACAACTCTTCGATTCGCACCTCCCGCGAGCAGATCAAACACTTCCGACCACGTACTGTGATGTTTGGCGACGATCCGCGCACCGTACGTACATAATTACGATCATTGAGCCGCGGGTGTGCATCGGCGACGCGGCGTTCTCGATCGTTGTCGCCTCGCCAGGCGGAGAATCGCACGCGACGCGCGCCGAAACTCAGCGATTTTTCTCGGGCCGAATCTTCCTCGTTGCTCCGAGTACGTTTTTTCAAGCGGTCGCGAGGACGCGACGATCGATCCTCCAAACCGTTTTCAATCGCGTCCGCAGAGTTTTTCGAGGCTCGAACATTCGCGGATCAATCGGCGATCCGTGTTACAACATTAGGATCACGTGGCCGTTTGTTACGATAACTTTTATACGACGAGAAAGCCTTGAATTTCATACGTCCTTCCAACAGAGCCTGCAACGATACAACGCGCGTATTATTTTCGCGCTGTTATCTCTCTTAGTTTATACCCGTCGACGGTTTGCCGATATCTTCTCCTTCCTAATTTCGCAAATATCTACCGAATTACAACCGCGATATCTTAACTCTGTTCGGTATCTCACCGGTGTCGCCGCTTGGATGTCGGCCGACCGGTGGTCGATTTTTCAAACGATTCTGAATCCGACGAACGAACGACGAAACGCGGTTAACCCTTTACACTCGAGGTTGTTTTAACTTTAAAGCTGAACTATTCTCTCTCTCGAACGTACAGTATTTCGATTTTGTATCATTTTTGCATCGCATGGGTACGAAGTTAAACTAATTTGCCACGGTAGAATACTTAGAATTTTAACAACTGTTCAAATATAAAGGAATTTAATCGTGCAAAAATTACTTAAAAAAATTATGCAGCAAGGTCTAGCGGCGCCACAGAGTCGACGTTCGAGCGCAAAGGGTTAATAAAGAAGCGAGCGGATGAGAATTTCTCGCGAGCGATAATTTTGCGTTCTTCCGTCGTCAGCGTTCGCGGCCACGAGTAATCGAAACGCGCTGGACTCGCCCGTTTTCAGTTTCTCGACACACGGTTTAATCGTCTCACCGTCCAAAGCCGGCTACTAATCCATCACGCGAAATCGCGGAGATCGCGCGCTCGAGTTACAATGCTCAAAAGCGTTCCAACGTTTCGACGGAAGTCGCCGCGGTCTCGATGCTCGCTTCGCTCGCGACGAGGAAAATATTCCGAACAATTTCTCAAACTCGGACGCGGGCGGTTCGAATGCCAAGGGGACTCGCATTGTTTTCAAAAAAAAAACTCGAAATCGCCGCTGATCGAGCAGAAAAAAATCGCTGCTCGGGCTCTTCTCGCGGATTCCGCGGGTTCCGCCGACGCCGCGTTCGCGCGTACGATCGGAGTTCATTCATTTGGATCGACGCGATCGGAAAAGCGTGGTGGTCGGCTGTTGGCACGGGGCCTCGTTAATGTCACCGACTTCTGGGCACAGCAGCAGCTGGCAGCGGCCGTCGAGTGTCGCAACAGATTCCTTCGCTTCCGGTTCCAAGTCTTGGACGACCATTATCCTCGCGTTTCTCGTCCGAAACAAAAGCACGGACGACTTTACGTAGAGTAAATTGTCCTTGATTGACGCTCGGCTTACGTTGTATAGAAAAAAATGGCCAATTTGGGAAGAGGAGATACGATTGTTCCAGCCTCGCGACTGGTTTCTACATTCGTTGACAATCGGTAGCTATAAAAGTCGCGAGGCTCGAACGATCGCGTCTTCTCTTCCCAAATTGTCCACTTTTCTGTACAAGCCGAGCGTCGATTAGCAGGATTTACCGTACAATTAAGGGACGTACAGTAAATTGTACGGTAAATCCTGCTAAAATCGACGCTCGGCTTGTACAGAAAAATGGACGATTCGGAAAGAGGAGACGCGATCGTTCGAGCCACGCGACACGCTTTTATAGCTACCGATTGTCAACGAATGTAAAAACCAGTCGCGAGGCTGGAACAATCGTATCTCTCCTCTTCCCAAATTGTCCATTTTTCTGTAAAAGTCGAGCGTCGATTAGCAGGATTTACCGTAGAATTTACTGTACGTCCCTTAATTGTACGGTAAACTGTACTGTACTGTTACTGCTAAACTTACTACTAAACTGTACTGTACTGTTACTGTACGTTCCTTTCGATTCGGTCGAATAGATCGCTCGTTGGAAGCGCGTGTCCCTGCGCGAACGTGTCGTTCTCGTTGTTTCTTCGAGCACGATACGAGAATCGGCTTTTATCGCGCTGTAATTTGAACCGAGCAAATTTGAATACGATACGGTAGGTAGCGGCTTTTAATTTCCCCGTTACTGTCGACAGCTAAATACTAACGCAGCACCGTGTCAGTCGACCTTTGACAACGCCAGATAACGAAAGTGTCCGGTTAAATCGTACGTAAGCCGATCGAAAATGCTGAGGATCTTGATCTCGATCTGCTGCGCCGTGGCCGCCCTCTCTCCCGGGGTCCTCGGCAATCCTGTTGCCGTGCAAGACGGCGAAGGGCTCGCTCTGCGGATCCTTCACACGAACGACATGCACGCAAGGTAATAAATTTTGTTCGTCGACGAAAAGCGAGGAAACCGGAGACACGATCTTCTCGATCCTCGGACGGCGGATCATCGTCTTTTACGATTTCTCACCGTCGGCCACGTTTCTAACAATTCCGAGCTTTGTTCGGCAATTTTTCGAAACATTTTCGAAGATATTTATCGGAGATTTATCAGCGTTGTTCCGTTGTTCCCGATGTAACGGCAATTTATCTCGCTTAAACGTCGAGGATTTAGTTATCGCGCGATCGACGCAAAATTGACCGCCCTGCGAGGGTTAATTGAAACGGTTCACGCGTCGAGGAAAAGATTTCACCGTGTTCCCGCGATACGTCGAGCCGATTATGCGCGCAGAAACTGTCCGGGTCGATGAAAAAATAAGAAAGTCTCCGTAACATATGCGGGAATTGCGACACATTCGTGTCAATATTGAGTCAGTCGAGCCGCTTCTTTCGTGCGTCGATCGCTAATTGCGAGCAGTCCGATGCTAATACGCCGAACGCAGCCGTTTAAACGTTAATTTGTTACCTCGCGTATATCGATATGAAAAAAAGAAATATTCATTCGGAGTACCTGTCCACGGCAACGAGTCAATTCCTCGGGCTCGTTCATGTTCCTCGTTATCCAGCGATCGATGAGATACGATCCGAGAGATAATTTTATTTGTCCCTCGGCGCGAGTGACGGGCGGAATACTACTGTCTCATTAACCATTCGCATTCGATTCACTGTGGAATTACGTTTTCAAGAAACTAAAGTTACGTAGAACTCTGTATAGAATTAGCTCGATTAACTGAACTGGATTTCCCCGCGAACTTTATCATTTAGATTTCATCATTTTTAGATTTTTGATTATTCCGAGTACGCGATGTTTCCAAGTACGCGAAAGTCTCCCTGATCGACGCTCGGATCGTGCACGAACAATGGACAACTCGGGAAGCGAACTTTGTCATTTAGATTTGTGATTATTCCGAGTATATGTAATGTTTCCAAATACGCTAAATTCTCCCCAATTGACGTTCAGATTGTGCGCGAATAATGGACAACTTGAGAAGTGGAGATGCGATTATTCGAGACCCGCGGCTCATTGTTATATTTATCGATCGTGAATAATTGTAAAAACGAGTTGCGAAGCTCGAACAATCGTATCTCCTCTTCCCAAAAATTGTCCATTATTCGTGCGCAATCCGAGCGTCGATTAGGGGAGAATTTACTTTGAATATTAATGTATTTTCAAAATAAATTTCCTTCGCCAAGGAAAACGAAAAAGTTACTTCGAACGACCTCTGCTTACCCTCACCCCCATTTCCGTATCGCGAGACATTTTTGGGACGCCCTGTACAGAAAGACCTCGCTCGAACGTGGATCTATCGAACATCGATTCGGTAACGCGAAACGCCGTACGATTCTACGAGATTCGGCGTTTCGAACTGTTTCCTAGCCGAATCTTTACTTCGCGCCGTTCCGTTCGAATTTTCGTTTTCGGCGACGTTCGAGACGCCGCGATATTCTTCTCCGGCGAAATTCGATCTCGGCGTAAAGGTTGCTTTTGTTCGCAGATTCGAGCAGACGTCGAGATTCTCCGCCATCTGTTCGGAAAACGACGCGAACGAAGGGAAATGTTACGGAGGATTCGCGAGGCTGGCGACCCTGATTCGAGAAGCGAGGCGATCATCCGTTCCTTCCCTCTTCCTGAACGCGGGGGACACTTATCAAGGATCGATATGGTACAACGTGTACAAATGGAAAGTGGTCGCCAAGTTCCTGAACCTGTTGGCACCGAACGCCACGGTACGTTCGCAAACTTATCATTTTTTATATCACCGTCTCGTCGCGCCTCGGCCGATTTCGCACGCCGATTCGGTCTTCCGAACCTGCGGCGAATTTAATTGACCCTTTGAGGACGAATGTCGACATACTGCCAACATCAGAAACACGTATCTTGTTCCCGAAGTTGCGAGTGCGTAAATCGATGTTTCGCACGCAACGGTAGATCGATATATTGGGTTGGCAACTAAGTAATTGCCGGTTTGTTCAATGAAATAAAAAATCTTTTTACTTGGAACGAAGTTTAATCTGTAATGTATTTTCCATTTTGTTCGATTGACCTTTTGCCATCTCTCCGACAACTTGAAAATTCCACGCTCGTAGAAAGTCCGATCCTTTTCGGCCAAAAACTGAGTTAAGCGAGATTTTACAGCGTCGTCGTCGTTAAAAATTTTACCACGAAGGGAGTTGTCCAGGGATCGAAACAAGTGGTAATCCGATGGCGCGAGATCAGGGCTATACGGTGAGCGTAACATCGACTCCCAATCGATATCCATCAATTTTTGCCGAGTGGACAAAGACGCGCGCGGCCTGGCATTGTCCTGCTGGAAAATGACACCTTTACGATCGACCAGTTCTGGTCGCTTTTCCTTGACCGCTGCATTCAATTTGTCCAGTTGCTAATAATTCTGTAATATAACATTTACGGATATCATGAAAATGGGAGTGAGAGACATCTGTAACTGAAATCGGCAATTACTTAGTTGTCAACCCAATATATCGTTCATTTTTCCGATTATTCAAGTGTCCGATACATGATCCGGTTCTACGAGGAAAATATCGTTGATCGTTTAAAGAGTTCTCGTCCGCAAAGGGTTAACGCGGTTAAACGTGTACCACATGCGCCCGTTCCCCTTCGTTTCGCTATCGTTCGATTGTCACGCGCCAGTCCTGCCGCGCCCGCCGCGTCGTTATATCATAAGTGTCGTAATTGTCATTATTCTTGTCATTTTGATCGGACGTTCATTTCGTTTTTCTTTGTTTCCTTTTTATCTCATTTATTTCGAACTATTATCTATTCAACGAAAGCCGCGAAACTCGTTCGTACCTAGCTGCATCGGAAGTTATTCGTGACTCGCTCTAAACATATTCGGGATTTAGGATCGTGAATTTTTTTTCTTATCGCTAGGCGTCGCCTAATCGAATACATCTCGATCGCGCCGACCGACGACGAATCGTCCAGCAATTTGAACGACGATTCTGCAAATTACCGACGATGACCAGCGAGATTCGAACTTGAACAGCTTCGACAAATTAACGCGTCGGAAGCATCGTGTGTCGTAACGCGTCGAGCGTCGGCTCTCGTCTCGCAAATCGAGACGAGGATTTCTCCGATCGATAGCGGGAATTTTTCGATTGTCTTGGTCTCGATCGCTCGCGGTCTCCGTTCTAACCTCGTTTCTTCTAAATTGGGCCGAGCCCGATTCGCGTACTCGAGACTTCTCTATAATCGGCGCTGGGTTTAAACTTTTAGGCACGACGCGCCACTATAGTGGCTTCCGCGGATGTCATCGCTCTGAACGACGCGCCGCTATAGTGACTTACTCTGGTAGCTCATTCGGTCATCGTTCGGATCGAATAGTCGTCTTCGTATGCGTTGTTTCACACTTCTTTTGTCTTCGCATCGAATTACAATATACAGACTTATCTTAACGATATAACTGTTAACGATATAGCTGTTAACGATATAACTGTTAACGATATAACTGATAACGATATAACTGTATCTCAAGAATATACAGACGCTCTGTACAGTACGTGTCAGACTCTGCCGTCCAGAGGAATAGCCTCGCGCAGAATTCAGCCGTGCCTAAAAGGGTTAAACTGCCGTTCGGGGAACTAAAACGTCGTTCATGGTTTTCTTTTTCTCTTCTTTGCGAATCAGAGCTTGGGTAACCACGAGTTCGACGACGGCGTCAAGGGTCTCGTCCCCTTCATCCAGAACGCGTCGTTCCCCATAGTCACCGCGAACCTGGACCTGAGCCAACAACCGGACCTAGCAGCCACGAATTTGCTGAACAGCACCGTTCTAACCGTGGAAGGGACAAAGATCGGCATCATCGGATACTTGACGCCCGAGACCAAGACGATCTCTGTCACGGACAACGTGATCTTCCTGGACGAAGTGGAAAGCATTCGCAGGGAAGCGAGCCGGCTGAAAGCGCAAGGCGTCAACATCCTGATAGCCGTCGGGCACTCCGGTTTCGACGTCGACAAGAAAATCGCCAGAGAAGTGGAGGACATCGACGTTGTGATCGGCGGGCACACCAACACCTTCCTTTACAATGGCAAACAACCCGACCTTGAAACGCCCGATGGCCTCTATCCGACGACGGTGGTGCAGAAAAGCGGCAGAAAAGTGTACGTGGTCCAGGCGTACGCGTACACCAAGTACCTGGGTAATTTTACGGTGAAATTTAACAAGGAAGGCGAGGTCACCGAGATCAAGGGCAATCCTGTGTTGGTGGACAACAGCATCGAACAGGTAATTTATTTGCTTCGATCAACCGATATTTCCTCGCGACCCGCCGAGCTCCGCGAACAAATCACAGAAACTGTTAGAATGTTTTATATATCGAGCCGGAAATATTGACACCGATCCGTTCAAACTTCTACGATCGTGTGGCATCGCTGATTAAATCCGTGAAATTGGCAAATTCATTGTTTATAGAATACGGTGTCGAGTTATTCTGGCTTGTCTTAGGGCGAGGTCTCCAGAAATAGTTAGTAACAAATCGATGTGCACAGAGATCGGATCAATGGTGCAACGGAAATGTAGCCGAAGGTCTATTTTATCGTTCACGATTATAAATATTGACAATTTTTCACCGATTAGTAAGTTATTTGTCAATATTCCATTGATTATATAGATTTTTCCACGATAGAACTTTGACCGATGGCGCCATCCGCGGAAAAATGGTCAAACCGGTAGACAAATTGCACATGTCCTAACTTGTTGGTAGCTCCCTCACTGGCAACGTGCTCAAACTTGTAGACGACAAGTCCGATGGAAGTAAATTTCCATATTCCTGCGATTACTTTCACACATAGTTTTCTCATTGGGTTCCGTTTCTAATTAAATAGTTTTTAACCATTTTTTCGAACCACCGCACTATATTTGCTCATCTGCAGACAAGAAGCATTCAATTACTGTCTTTTCTAACAATTAATTTATTAAGTTAAAGACATAATTTGTAGAATGTTGAATGAACCATTAGCAACCTTTCCATATATTTTCGAACAGTTTCGACACGTCGTTGATTACTTATTAACAATTTTCGGCGATGCCGTTCAATTCCCTGGCATGTCCAATGAGAAAGACAAGAAAAATCGATTACGCTATAAAGATAGAAATAGTGGCCGGTGGCGCCATCTACGGTGGCGGGTTTGTGAACTAACTTTCCCTATCTTCACCGTGTGTAAGACAAGGACAGAGATAGTGTGCGACAAGGAGAATAGATGTCCCGGTTGTGCCACCAACTTTTTAGACGGACTTCGAATTCCCTGGTAAGTGGTAGGAACACATGATATAGATGGAGGTATCCGACAAGGACAAACTTATGCGTTTTACGGAGCGAGAGAAGGACGCACAGTGAGACTCTCTCTCGACGTATCAATTCGAGGGAAGATTCGTTAATAACTCAATTACCAGGAATAATTTATAAACATTTGCGATTG